AGAACTTGTATATAATAAACAACCCTGAGAAAAGAAGAGACTTTCTACAGATAAATAAATAGTGCGATTGATGTAAACTGAAGGGACCCAAAGTAGATGCAATGTGGAATATTTACCAACTCAAAAGAAATGAAAATGCAAGGGAAAAAAGGAAGAAGCAGCTTTTGGCTTAGCTTTCAATGTGAGAGAGAGAACCGATGAAGGGTTGCTTTTTCATGTGTCTGTATGCATGTATTGTTATATGTCTGCTTCTGTGACTGTGAAAGAGAGTGTGCCAGTCCATGACAAGCTGGCTACAAAGAAGCATCCAAGTAGCTTCACTGATCTCTACGGTGATGTCCATTTTCAAAGCTTTTCCTTGTGCGGGTGTGTATATTTTTGTGAGCTTAGCTGATAGCATGTTAGAATAATTTATTCTCAAATTAATAAACAAATACATCCTTGTGCATATTCGTATCATTATTGGAGCACAGATTGCGGAGTGGTTTAATTGAAAATTAAACTCTGTACCACAATCTTTTATGAATTGTACCTTGACTCTCTATGCATGCATGTCGGATACACACTAACATCTCACAAGCGGTGTTAATTCATAATTATAATACTTGAGTTTTGCTTGTTAAGTTGTCATTCTAGAACAATATTATTATTATTATTATTATTATTATTATTATTATTATTATTATTATTATTATTATTATTATTATTATTATTATTATTATTATTATTATTATTATTAACAACAACTAAAGCAGGGGGGGTAAACAGCGTAACTATTTTTACTGATCTCAAAGTTTACTATGAATTATAATAGTTAATCTAAAAAGAATTAATTGATCTTAAAAATTACTTTTTACATGAATCATTTTAAACCCAAATTAAAGTTAAATTGTATTTAATTTTTTTATAAGGGTTAAATTAAAAGATAAAGAACTAGAATGATAAAAAAGGATTAAATAAATGCTAGGGCTACAATTTATTTGAAACGTTTTTTTTTAATCTTTTATCTTTTTAAGTTACGAGATAAATAATCCATTTAATTTTTTAAAAATATATTTTGATATTAATCTTTATTTTTTCTTTTTTAGTTAGTTTTAGGTGAACAAAAAAGAAGATAGTTGGATTCCAGTTTAGAAAAAAAAGTTATAGATAAGTAAGATTTTGACCATCAAAATGATTAATTGTTTTATTAAAATATTTTATACGATAAGAAGGTTTAAGATTATATGCTTTCTACCTTTAAAACACCTAAAAAATAGATATACCTTTAAGAAAATTTTAATTTTTGGTTAATTTTCAAGTTTTGAAGTGTCTATTTTTTCTTTTTTAGGTTGAGGATTGATTTAACAAGGTTTATAATGTGTCTTGGGTTAAAATTACCTTTAAAATGGGTTTTGGGTAGAAAAAAATCATATTTTTTTTACCATGCCAATAGTTGAATTCTAAGATTTTTATGAATTTTTTTTCTAATTAACTGAAACAGATAATATGTCACCCACCTTAATAAACTTAAAAAAAGGCTTATGCGTGTCTTTTTTAACTTGTCCAATGGCTAAGTCTGACTTATTAGGCTTAACAATACTTAGCTTTGTTTATATATATACACACACACATACACATACATATCAATGATTTTTTTACATGTTTTTTTGTCACACTAGTAGTCAAATTCTAAGATTGTTATGCATTATTTTTTTTTATTTTCAATCAATTGGCGCGAATGATGCATCATCCACCCTAATAAAGTTTTTTCAAAAAAAGAGAGAGGCTCGTGTGCACTTTTCTTAACTCGGCCAAGAGTTAGGTTTGGCTTCTCAGGGCTAGTAGTGCTTAACCTTTTTTTTTAAAAAATAATTTTTTTATATTAATAGCTTTTTTTATATTTTTTTAAATAATATTTTAATTAATATGTTTTATCAATTATTTTTTTTGGTTTTTCAGCTTTTGTTTAATAACAATTACTTTTTAGTTATACTAGACGTGTTTAATTTTTATGAAGTTAGTATGATTTATTTGTAATTTATTTGTATGTTTTATATAAATTAAATATTTATTTTTTATAATAATTTTAATATATACAACCTTGTATAATATTTTTTTTTTATTTTGTCCAATAAATTTTATTTGTGTCAATATCTATTGCAAATTGATTTTCTCATAAAAATTTATTAAATATAATTAGATACATAACCTGTATTGCAAAATTAAATATCTTGATCTTCATTGATCTCTTGATTTTTCTAATTATATTTTTTCTATTGTTAATTACTTTTATTTATTTACACAATAATTTGTGATTTATTTAATTGGTTGTGTGCATAATTTTTTCAAGTGACATTTATGATTTTTCATATTAAAAAATACGTTGAAAAAATCTATATATGTTCAAGGTTTTTTTTCAATTATGTATTAGCGTTTTTAATTTGATCCTTATTTTTATATTTTTTTTGTCTCGACTTTTCTATAAAATTTTTATTATTTTTAATTTAAATTAACAGTGTATCAATTTTTTATTTATTTTGGCCCTTGTTAATCGAGTTTTCTAATATATATATATATATATATATATATATATTATTGTCTCTTTTTTTTCCACTTGATTCAAATAAAACCAACTTATTTAGTTGGTCAAATTTATAATTCGAGTTATTAATTTTTTATAATTTTTTAAAATATATTAATAACATTTAAATATTTTTTTTAAAAAAATAATGCAGATTCGCGTATAGGCAATCAAGAAGTTTCTTTAAACACACCAAATTATTATATGATATTCTGATTAAAATTTAATTTAGACATACAAAAATTGATCGAGAGTGAGTCAAGGCGGAAAAAAAACATGTTCACACGTCAAAGGATATGAATGTAAATCTTTTAGTACTATCTTTTTTTTTTATTATTAATATGGATGTCCGGGTCAGCTTGCGTGCACCACGACTAATCCCACGGCCCACTGAACATTCGGCAAGCCCGATGAACAGGTAAGGCACCGCGGGGGTGACAAGCATACCACACAAAAAGGACTCGATAAAGACACGAAGAAAACAACTCTCCAGCCCTACTCCCACTAGGACTCGAACCAAAGTTCGAAGGAAGGAGAGTTGCACCAACACCACTGAGCCACAACCTGATAGGTCTTTTAGTACTATCTTAATCAAGCTAAAAGTTGTGGAAGATGCTACGCCTCACTTTTCACGAGTTAAGTATAATCGAGTACCTGTAAATAATCAAAATAAATTAACTTATCTCCAGAGTATTAAATAATTTCTCAGCCAAAGTTTATCAAGTGTAGCTTAGTAGTATTTTATTTCAAACAATATTTTGTCCTCTCACCAATCTTTCCATATTATCTACTTGTTTTTCTGGCATTTTTCATTTCCTAAACAAAAATAAAATAAATAATAAATAATATGAAATGGATAAAAGGATAAGAGTAAAGTTGTATTTATAAATATAGAGATTGAATATACAGTTTATGAACCATGAGGACTAATTAATAAACCTTGATAAACTACCAGAACTAAGTTATAATTACACCGGTCCTGAGAGGGAAGAAATGTTGACCATGAAAAACATGTTGATGGCATTTCTTCTAACAAAACCCGTTTCTTGTTCAACAAAAAGAAAAGAAAACAATTTACTCGGAGTGGAGAGGTTTGAAGAAGAAATTTTGGTATTTGTACACCCGTATGGCTGGCATTACATATACATCCAAAAAGAAACATGACTTGTAAATGATAACAAAATGTATATCCTTAGCGGGGTCATGATGATAGACAGCGGTGATATGATTTGAAAAAAGTCATGATATGATACAAATTTGACGTGTTAGGTTCATTTCATCTCTTCACACTAAATTCTCGGGGACCTTAATCTCGACGTTCACTTTACCAAGGAAGAGATTAGATTCCGATTTCAGACAGTGGAAAAGTATTTAAAACGTTGTGTGCACAAACTCGGGCCTACAAGAACGCACTCCCCTGCAGAATTTGAGCCCTTGAGCCATAGTGACAATCATGGTACAATCAAGGGGGGAAAACATGAAAAACCAAATATAACTGCCAAAGAAGAAGTCGGTAAAAGAAAGCAAATACAGCAATTCCGTGTTGATGTTCTTGCATTAGGTCAGCCGAGGAGTATTTGATTGAGCATTTGTCCAAAACAGAAATCATTAGAAGTGAACATTTTGTCCCATCCTTTGGTATTTTTTGTTTCTCACAAAACTCGAACCTCACTCAATACTTTAAGGTTTTGAATCATGACAAAGCCTTTCTGGTGAAAAAGACAAACTCATATCATCCAAGAAGGCTGTTTCATTTTGTCCGAATCAAGCAATAGGCTGAAGAGTAGGCCCTTCTTTTATTGGTAGGTAGCTGTGGCCATTGAATCTGAGAGGCTAAAACGCATGCTCCTCCGTGGGCCTTGACGAGTGTCAAGTGTACCTAACCTCCCAGCGTCACTTGTGAAATTAATTACAGCCCTTTCTCTCTCTCTGATCCACTACTTCCCTGAGCTGCCGACTTGTTGGGTTTTACTGTCCCAAGTTGGAATCTCAGAAGTTCAAATCACCACATGCTCCATATGAGTTCCACACTAGGTGCCCTTGGTCAGAAAGAACCAAGCGATAAAAGAAAGACAATTGTTGCATATCCAATCACTAACAGCAAAAGCCTTCTACACGATAACAGCTACAAACTTGCGGAGAAAGATAACAACTCTATCTATAGATAATTAGAGATGAGTAAGGTAGTAAAATGCATTGATCATTTCGGGTGAAAAAAAAAACATGAAGAGTTTCCAAGATTTATAAGATATCTCGTGAAAAAAATCCACAAGAATAATTATTTTATTTTTCGTGGGTGAAAACACGATGCTGGTGGCACCATTCAGATTGTTTGATGCTGCCAGCAAACACCTCGTAAAAATGACATATCACAAAAATACGTTTGCTCTTGGTGAACAGAGAGCTTGGGAACAAACCATCAGCTACATCATGACCATTGTAATTAAGAGAGAATTAATACTGATTGATGAGCAAAACATGAAAAATGCCCTACTAAAATACATCAAATAACCCATCCAGGGAATCTGGCAAAGAAGCTAACAAATAATTAAATAAATAACACAACAGATCAGGGACGGACACTCCGATTTCAAAACCTTCTTCAATGGAGTAAAAAACAACTTTGGTATTCTCCAATGAGATGCCACTGATTTATTGATTGCGTAGAGAACACTCGATGAGAATCTCCAATAACAAGTAAGAGAAGATACTCACCGATAAGGATCCAAGGAAAAATCTTTAGATATCCTATACTCATTCAGAAAATAATGAAAGTCAGATAAAATCTAATATCATGAAACCATACATCAACATGTAGAAGTTCTTTTGTTTTTGCTCTTCGATTGTGTTCTCAAGTCAGAATGAAGCTGGTTAGAGTTGCAATTTACTGAAATATATCAAAGGGGCAAATATTTCAGCTCTCTACCCGCAATGGTGCAGCATTTTCCAATCATTAGAAAATAGCCAGCCTTTTTTATTGATTAAATTACAATGAGTATGACATACCTTTATCTTGGAAGTTTGAAGCGAATAGCTAGCTGAGGACCTGAAGTTCAACCAGAACAGTATTTAAAGAGAAGAAAACCACACGAATGAAGATGTATTTACCTAAACAAATGGAATACTTGATGATGATTGTTATCAACGTGTCTTGTTGTAAGAGATTAAGCAAAGCAGATCGCAAAATCTCAATCTATTAACATCCCTTGTATCTGTCCATTCCATAATTAAACTCCAGGGCTTTGACTCTGCTAGTTTATGGACCTTCTATTCTCAAGCACAAATTTACAAAATCGGTTCGTTGACATTTTCCTCACTTTATGCCCCCATATCATAAAAGAGAGAACCTGCAGCATTTCCTCAAATTCAAAAGGTCTTATTTCAAGCAGAAGGCACAGCAACAACAAGCAAATTTCAAATTTAATCAAACGTACATTGCACGACAGAATTCTTTGTATCTTTGAAGGAAGGAGCTAAGGTTGCATGGTATTTTTCCTTTTAAACCAGCAAATCCCACCCCAAATAAATTCGAAACATATAATTAGTAGATCCAAACAAGGGCTATGAATGAAGTAAATCAAGGGGGGCAGGAAGCAAAAGAGAGCAAAAGTCGACCAAACCAATTCGAATTTTCCAACTTCTGTAGCCCACATCCCTATAATTCCATTCTCGTTTTTACAGTGATCCGCTATGCCAATACTATTTTATAGAAAAAACTGAAGAAGAAAACCCATCAATGGCAAACCTTCCAATGTCATCAGCACTGAGACCCCAGTTTACCAAAAGCACCACCTTTGTCCAGTTCTAGAGACTTGGGATCAAGTGGGATAGTACCCACTGTTAGATAATCAGAAGATTCAGCGATTCTGTTAACTTTAACAGGCATCGATCCTACTGTGACAATATCAGCAGATTTGTTGGCAGCATTTGGTGAGAGCTTAGATTCCACCTGTGTCGGGTTTATATCAAGTGAGCCGATCTTTAACACAGGTCTGTTATCATCATCTGCATCAGCTGTATCTTGCCCGGAATCTTTATCCCTGCTTGAAATGTTAACATTTGAATCTGAAGAAACTTGCTTGGTGGCAGAGGTCCCAGTGTTCTTCAAGCTGTTAAATTCATTCTGATCAATAATCTTCTCATCTTTGTTTGTCTCGGTTTTTTTCCAGCTGTTATGATAATTTGGATTCATAATCTTTTCATATTTGTTTGCCTCAGTTTTCTTCGAGCTGTTAAGATCAGTCATATCATCATCTTTGTTCAGCGACTGCTCCACAAGACCATTTAGTTCATGGGCAGGATTTAATGCTGGTACAAACAATGGGGATTGGAAGGTTTTAAACATAAGCCTGGCCTTTTCTTCCTGCATAATTTTCTGACGATTCTCATAGTACACAAAGTCATCAAGTATAGAAGTCTTCAGTGGGTGATTTTTGAACATCTTCAGCATCTCTAAACCTTGCTTATACATTATCTGTGAGAAATAGAAATCCAATCAGAAGAAATAACCAGCAAATTGCATTTACATAAACCAAGGGGAAAGGGGTTCCCAGTAAACAAAACAAAAATCATTACCCAGAAGAAGAAAAAAATTAGATAACTATCAGACTATAAAAATTAGATTCTGTTTTTTTCTTTTTTTGATGGCATGATAGTGAGTTAAAACTTTTACAAAGTAATAATACAGAGATTCTCGTATCATATATAATAGTAAATTCATGCTGGTTCCCACAAAGCTACTATAAAAAGAATTATAGAGGAATAAAAGTATACTATAGCCAACTGCAGGAGCTTTAGTATCAGATTGGACAGGGACTAACATTTACTAAGGTGCTCAGAAACACCAGCCACAATGAAAAAGAAACCCACACATCATACCTCTTGAGTGTCTCTGCTATTAGTCACTGGCTTATTCTCATTATTCTCCAATATGATGTGCCTCAAACTTGAGTTTGGTATATCTTTAATAAAATGCCACTTAACAAGAAAACTCCCACTCCATTTATCTTGCTGCCAAAAGTCCATGTCTCTATTGAAGTCTACAGGACCAACCATCTCTGCAACACCACAAAATTGACCACTAGCATTAACCTGTATGAAGACAAGATTGCATCGGTGAGGAACAATGGGTGCAGAAGACATCACACTCACACAATTAATATAGGTCTCCTCCATTCTCCAGTTTGAAAAGAGTGATAATTGTTAAAAAAACAAAGAGGTATCCATTAACATAGAACTCACAGAAAAAAACAGAAAGATAGGGCAGCCTCTAGGTCTTCCCAAATCTAGTTTCTGTGCATATTCAAATGCACTGTGCAGCTTTTTGTTTCCATGAGGTGTAGATGACCACACGTTATATTTGATGCTTTTGTGCACATCATCCTCACTATACGATTTTATTACAAAAAACTTTGCATCTGCATAATCGGTTGAGAAATCATCCTTGTTGTACTGGTCAGTCTGTACAACGATGTTGCCTAGCCCATTATTATCTCTCACTCTGGTTGTGTCGGCTTTAACAGCTGGTTGGTTTTTCAAATTGTTGATCCTAGGTCCACGATTCTGCTCACCCAACAGCTCCGCATTTCCATTCAGATCACTGAAAGTTCTGCCAGCATGAAACTTAGATCGAAGTTTATCCACTGAGGTTCGGCCATAAGCACTTGATCCAAAATTAGAAAAGTCATTGCTGACAGGTAGAGTGACTTTTAATTGGTTCTGATGAGATCGGACTTTGCTGTTTGAAATGTAGTCAATAGGATGCATCGGGCCAGGAGCACTTCTACCCTGTAAAGTAGAAACATTTTGAAAGATTCTCAGCAAAATCGAACAACAGTCCATTGCAGACGTAATCAATAACTGATGAAAGGGACCCCCAAAATGCATCCACATTATAAACTAATCTAGCCTATGCCAACATCAGATGTCCTAGCACAGCATACTCAACACAACATGCAACTTTCCAACAGCTTACATTCTTTACAAGGATCAAGGAACATCACAAAATATTATCTTAATTACGCAAGAAATCATACCTGAAGGACGTGTGATGAAGCTTGAGTAAGAATGCTGCCAGAAGAAACACCTCCATGTGATTGCTTAACAGGTCCAACATTAGCCTTCGGCCCTTCAGATATCCTGTTCAAAGAATTGGTTTGGTTTGAAGCAGGTCTAGAGGGGTTCCAAGCAAAGGCTGCAGATGATGAAGAAATGCCATGCTTTAAACTTTTCCCATCAGGTCTGCTATTGCGTGCTGTTCTAGTATCTAACAAAGGATCTGCTGAACTATTTTGAAAGGCTTCTGGTTGAACAACAACAGGAATGTAGCCAGATGAAGATACAGGGTCCTGATAAGGGGGAACTGTGTAATATTGTTGCTCCCCTGCATACGGGCCATCAACTCCTATCATAGCACCAGGTATGTAAGGATTGTATGGGTTATATGGAGACTGTGCATATGCATAGCTAGGTGCATAATATACATAAGGTAAACATTCAGTTTGTGCACCCTGTAAAAGATAAATTGGACATTTTAAATATCAGAACATGATTCAGAAGCATATGTGAACACAAATATAGAAGAGAGAGACAGATAGATTTCACTCACCGCATACTGGATTTCAGGACCATCTGCACCAAAAATCTTTTGATGGTCCTCCCATTCGACGGGTGTCTCAAATCCTGACATCATTCAATCAATACAGAGAACAAATAAGGCATCATATCATAAAGAATCACAATAAGATATTCAAACAGGACTGGTAAAAAATACCTGTACAGTAGTAACCATACTCAGTGGCAGCAGGATAAAACAAGCCCTGATCCGCCACAAACCCAGGGGTTCCTTCGTTGTACATGGTTTCAACTAGCTCAACAGCTGGACTTGTCAAAATAGGATTTAACTCAGCTCCTTGAATCTGAAATCCAAGACATGAGAAAATGTCAACAAACGATCAGAAATAGCCATGAAAAAAGAAACCGATTTTCATGAAGAGCTTTTCAAACTTAATTTGACTTTGTTTCTTTTTAAAAAGTAGAACAGCAAAGATAAATACCGAATAAGTTTCCGCATTTTCATGTCCAGAAACATTATTCATAACCATTCCAAGATTGCCACTCCTGAAGAAATGGATACATAAATCTTAAGCATCGACCAAGTAGGTAGGAACCAATCCAAACGAGACTAAAATAGCATATCTTGAACACAGAAATAATACTTTGCAGTTATAAAGAAAATATCAAGCAGCGATATACTCTTCAATTTTTCAATTAGCACTTCCAGCAAAAAGAATTAGGACAACACAGAAAATAGCTAAGCCCAGTAATTTCGAAACAAGAAGAAGCCAATTCAGCAGTTCAATGACACAAAAAAAAAAAAATCAGGATACCTAAACAATTAACAAAGAAGAGCCAAGCCTACACGCGGACTAAATTATTAATTCCACCAAAAAAACCCACTCGAACTAACTTAAGAGAAAAGCCTAAACACGTGCACAGCAACAAAACACTAAAATCCACAACTCCACCAAAAAAAGAATCTCAAATTCATACAAAAATCCCGCCCCCTCCCAAAAAAAAAGAGCAAAATATCTACTCCCCCGTCGAATATACAATTCAACAAGAACTAAAAAGAAAATAAGAAAAACCCTCGTGAATGTCCAATAATCAAATACTAGCAAAGAAAAGTCTTCCATTAAGCTTACTCGGATTATAAAAAAAGAAGAAGCTTACTTAGTAAATCCGGGCAAAAAATAATAGAAACTTGAAGGACACAGAGTGAACAGAGAGAAATAACACGCGAAGTTATGCAACGAGTGTGAAATAATTAATTAAATTTATTACCAGAGAAGAGAGAGCAGAAGAACCTAGCCATACTTTATCTAGAAACTTTGTTCAACAAGTGGAAGAAAGATTTTGTAATTTTGAGAGGTTATTGAGGGGCTTTGGTAACTTCCTTTATTTTTTTAATAAGATAATAAAAATCAAAGATAACGCGTCTAAGAAACCCTGACCCTGTAAAAAGAAATAAGAGAAATTGAAAGGGCGGATTTTTTAATGTATCGAGAAGGCAGGGCGAGAGAAGCGTAGATACGGACTCGCATCCAATGAGAAACGTTTTTTCTATTTCTTTCTTTATTTGTTTATTGAATTTCTGAATTGCCAAAATTGACCCGAGTTTTAATAGGAGACCCGGGGGGGGGGGTATCCCGTGGAAGGTTCGCGGGAAAGTGAAAGGGGGAATGAGGTGAAACGGCGTCGATTTTGTTGTTCTGAGTAACACGAATTGAGAAGAAGAGTTCACGGCGGTTAACAGAAACGATTGAATAATTTGCAAGGCTCTCTCTCTCTCTCTCTCTCCTCTCTGATTCAAGACGTTAGTTACCATAAAAAACATTAAAAAAGTGGGGTGAAAACACTGTTTACCTCGATTTTTTTAATACATTTTTTTTGATATATTTGCTTTTTATTTAATAATTATAGTTTGGTTTTATAAAATTAATGTCCAATCAAAACGCCGTGAACTCTTATTTTATTTGGGTCAGGCGAGAGCCCATCTCTGCAACCTAGTTTATCTTTATTTTATTATGGCCTTGATTTTATTTCATTTTTACAGGTAGGGTTGATTTTTAAAAGTCAAATGATATTTAAATAATTAACCAACCGACATAGGTTTTCAAATAATACAATAGTTTTTTTATAGTAATATTAATGATCATTTTTTTTAGCTTTTCAAAAAACGACGCTTATTAAAACAAACAATACATGGATAAAAAAATAGAGTTCTAATTAAAGAGAAACGTCTTTCACCACTCCTTCCATATTAATTATAATTTCTGTTTTAATTGCATGTATTTTTTATTCAATAAACCAAAAGATGCAAAAAAAAAAAAATTAAGAGTGAAAGATAATTTAACGAAATTTTTTTTTTCTTGTCATTTTTTTTCTAGATAATTTTCTTCTTTTTTACAAGTTTTTTTTTATTTTCATAAAAAAAAAAAAAAAAATAGAAGACTACTTGTGTCATCACGATAGATATCATATATTTATTAGTGCATTTATCTCTTGTTTTTTACAGTGAAGCACATCCTTTAACAATTCTTTTTATAACTTCTTTTGCATTTCTCAATTCAAAAATGCAAGTGTCGTCTTTTTAATTATTGACTATTGATTGCATTTTTTTCACAAAATTAAAAAATAAACTCAAAACACCAAGTTCCTTTTCTCTATCACATTAAACTTGATTGAAAATTTATTTGCAATCCAACAAAATACCCTGTCTAGTTTAGTCAGATCATTGTCTTTTTTATGCAGGTTGAAACTTACCCGACAAGGAATTTTACTACTTTGAAACCATTATAGCTACGATTGTTGTTCACTAGGTTTCGGTCGCCGGCTTCACTGTTTTCATGTCACAAACTTTCTTGACCTTCCGACACTGGGCAGACATTAGCTCCCATACATGGTCTTCCAACTTTGCAGATACCTGTGTTTTTGGTAAACAGTCGCCCCCGCCTGGTCATTGCGACCCCTTTGCAATGAGGCACCCCTTCTCCTGAAATTACAGGGCTACTTTGCCAAGTTCCTTTAAGAGAGTTGTCTCGTGCCCTTGGGTATTCTTTTTTTTTTTAGATTAACGTGGGTGTCCGGGCCAGCTTGCGCGCACCACGACTAATCCCACGGGCCTTGAAGTTAACGACCATGTAAGCCTCCAGTGGTCATCATATGAGCAACCAAAGACTCGAACTTGAGACCACAAAGGGAGCAAACCCCTTGATTCCAAGTTCTTACCACTTAGCCACCACCTAGATAGTTTGTCCTTGGGTATTCTTTACTTACCTACATGTGTCGGTTTCAGGTACAAGTACCCTTTTATTGAAGATTGTTCGAGCTTTTTCCTGGGAGTATGGCATGGTTTATTGCAGATGAAGCACCTAGTACTCAAATATTAGCTTGAGGTATTTTCTCAACCCCTTCTTACCTTGAAAAAACAAAGATACCATGTGTTCTTAAATCGATAACTATCTTTCGACTAACCTAACCTTCTCTATCTCTCGGGACCAGCAAGGGGTGGTACTGAAATATTTGTCTGTTGTCTATCGACCATGCCTTTTGGCCTGATCTTAAGCCCTGACTCACTCTTCATGGACAAACCTTGTGGAGAAACCATTAGGTTTTTGGTTCATTAGATTAGCACTAATGTTTACACTATTCAAACCAAATTTCTCACTCCCGTTGCGTCCATTCCCATGCAAAATTATTTTAATAAAATTCAAATTAATAGAATATGAAACCTCAATAAAAAACTAAAATCTCAAATCACGATTTGTGTGAAAATTCCTACTATATTTTTATGCAACTGCTACAAGACTAATAATTCAATGAACTTGAGCTTTTACTGCTAACATAAAAACATCAATTTTCATGTCTTCGAATACAGCTCAAGGGTTTGCTTGTTCCTTGTGCATAAACCACTGTGAGGATCTAACGTAGTTTCAGTAGTTCTTTTGCTTTTAGGACAAGTTCTTCTATCCGTACTTCATAAAAAAAAATCAATGAATTTTCTAGATACGAGAAGAAGAAAGTAGGAACCCAGAGCACTCTATCAGCCATTAATCATGACAAACGTCAACATATTCATTGTTTTTTTTTGTTTTTCACGAATTCATACACTTTATCAATCGAATAAAATTTTATATTTATAAACATTGCTTTCGGGGACTAGTATGGATATTATCAATATTGAGATAAATATTATAAATTAGGTGACGTGTTGAGATTTTTATTACTTAGTAAAACTAACTCAATTCATATACTTTATATTATTTTTGTGTTTGTATTTGATTGCTTGTAGATTTAACATTTATTTTTAGTTTTTACCCATTTAGCATTGCTATAATTTTATTTTTAAAAAATATTTTTCCTTTAAAAAATTAAATTAATGTTTTTTTTTATAATTTTAATAAATTGATGTAAAAAATAAAAACATTACCAAATGCTTTTTATAGAAATATTTTAGCTTTAAGTTTTTATTAGTAAATTTTCTATTAGATTTATTTAATGCAACAAAAAAATTTGTCATTTTAAATGGAGGAGAGGGGGTAACTGAAATTTAACTGGGGTGCAGAATATGAAAATTATAAATAATATTAAAGGTATTATGCTTAAAGTTCGTTTTTAAATACAGACCCCTAAAAATTAATAATATAACTTTAATTTATGAATACATGCAGCATCTAAAAAGAAATTAGCCCAATTTAGTATGTAATTTGCTCGAGTAAAAAAAAATCTAAATAAATTAATTTTATAATTTTTAAAATATCAAAAATTAAATTAATATAATCAAGAAATAAAACCCAACCATGTCGACACGGCTCCTATGCTCAAGTAACAAATTGACCAAAAGAATGGCTAGGAAGTCCAAAATACACACCTGGGCTGGCCCAGAAAGTGAAGAGAGTCCCATCTCCAAACCATTACCAGTTACCCGGTCCAGTCGGTTGCCCCGAATTCACTGGAACCCTCCAAATCATTCTCTCTCAAAACACCCCGCCAGCATTTCCCCACCTGAAGGGTGACCGACAGACAGCCAGGCAACTTCTTGCCTTCTCAAACGTTCTCCGACATCATTGGCAAAGAGCGCGAAGATCCAAGGTTGATCAATGGCTGTCGAAACGGAAGTTACAAGTGTTACGGAACTGGCGCTGGCTGATACTGACATCAATTGGGCCAGGTCGGTGCACTTTTTTCACTCTTAATATTTTCTGGGTTTATATTACAAATCTCGTTAGTTTTAAGTTTCAGCCTGCTCATCCCTGGTTCTGGCTACCGCGAATGCTTGCTTTTATTGTTCCGTGTCTTAATATTTAAAACACCAGCGCGATCTTTCTCGAGGTGGCATGCAAGTAATAATGTCTGTCCATGTAATTTGATTATCTATTCTGTTTTATACCTCTCTTAAGCAATTACAGTGACTATGGTGTTCTGTTATACGAAAGGATAACCTCCTACTGAGCAATTTACTTTAATGGATTTTGATAATCAAATTCGTTGAAGGCACATCCACATAATCATTCGATCATAAACCTTTTTGGCATCCATAAATCGATTAGAGTTTGTTTTTGAGCCAGAAGTAAATTGTAATTGGGCTAGCTGGGTGCTTTCTGTTGCCTTTATTCGAGTGATGCCCGAGTAGTGGCATCAAGTAGGTGGCAATGACTGTGTCCCATCCATCCTCATTTCCCTTTTAGTAAACATGCAGTGAGCTTGCATCTAAACTCACAATTATTTCAGTTCTTCAATGACGAGTCGTGAGGATGTTTGTTCTCGCCATCATTTTCTTTTTGTGGATTTTATATAGTCACGTGAAGCGCTGGCACTACTCGGGTTTTTGCAAAATCTAAACTAACACTACTTGTAATTTACTGGCTCTGATTCAGGCTGGACAAGACGAAGTTTCATATTATTGGTGCTGTCCTATTTACTGTTCAGCAAGGCTTGCTTCACCCAACAGCAGTTGTGAAGACTAGAATGCAAGTAGCAGATTCTGGGCTCTCTCACATGGGTGGAATATCCGTAGCTAAACACATATTGAGGAACGATGGTATTCCAGGTCTTTTTCGAGGTTTTCGCACCTCTGCTATTGGAGCATTACCTGGTAGAGTTCTTTCTTTGACAGCTCTTGAAGTGTCAAAAGATATGATGTTCAAATACACTGAAGCTTTAGATATGCCTGAAGCAACACGTGTTGGTATTGCAAATGGAGTTGCGGGCATGTTGTCAAATCTAGTTTCTTGTGTGTACTATGTGCCCTTGGATGTGGTATGTAAATTTGTTTCCACTTTTTGTAGTTTTCCGAGGTTTTTTTGACTTCAAGTACTTACCATTCAATTGGAAAGAAAAAAGATTTGTTAAAACGTAATCCTTGATCCTGACCAGCCAATAACTATATATTTTTGGACTATTTTGGTACACCGGGGAAATTATCGTGGGGGTGATTTTGGGATTTGCTTTTTGTTTTTGTTTTTTTGGTGGAGATTGTTTTACTGCAGGTTAGGTTAAGAAGATACACAAACATCCATCCTGTAGTTTGAGTCACTGTCATAGAGAAAGCATAGATGTGAATCAAAATCATAGTTTGGCACTTGTTGTCAACTGTTACAAACCGATAATTGCCTAAAGCTTGATGCCAAATATCTAGTTTGCAATTTGTCTTGTGAGGAGATAACCAGATAAAAGGGAGTGTCAAATTCAATGTTTATTATCCTATGTTACATTTGGTCTTACTTTCGCAGCGCACACTTTGCATTCTTAAAAGCCTATGAAGTTGTAAAAATGACCTAATAAAATAATGTTTCAGAATATGAACAATTTAGTATCAGTTTATATGTAGAATTATAGTAGTGGATGTTAGGGAATATTCTTATGTGGTGCAAGTTGCATTGGCATGAAGTTTTTTTGTCTATCTTTGACCTCCATTTTACTGCTGTTATCATACACGAGTCCCGCTGATAAAATATTGTGCAGTTTTCCTTGATCCTGTACTGTAAAAATGACATCTGGTGCTGCAGTTTGAGCAGCAAGAAGAAGATTGTATCATGAGAGAAGCAGAATATTGGCTCAAAAACAAGTTCATTTGGTGCTGTCTCAAAAACAATCTTATGTCGTGTTTTCTCAGATATGCCAAAGACTAATGGTGCAAGGGCTTCCCGGGGTTGTATCTTATAAGGGGCCATTTGATGTCATGTGTAAAGTGATGAAGACTGAAGGGTTCCGTGGTTTATATAGAGGTTTTGGATTGACAGCTGTAACGCAGTCACCAGCATCAGCGCTTTGGTGGGGTACCTACGGTGCTGCCCAGCACATCATTTGGAGGTGCATCTAAACAATTATCGTGTTCTCTTATCTCTATATGCTGTCTAACCCAGCAATTTCTGATTGAGATGTTAAACGATATGGATATATATCCATTTTTAGGAGCATGGGCTATAGGGATGACATGGACAAAAAACCATCTCATCTGGAAATGGTGACAGTTCAGGCTATGGCAGGAACAGTGGCTGGTGCTTGTTCCTCAATTATCACTACTCCCATGGATACCATAAAGACACGGCTGCAGGTATGTGGTGTATCATACTACCATTAACTGTTTCTATTGCATTACTATGTCCATAGGAGGAGAAACTAGCTGTTTTTTTCAGTTCAAATCTTGTGTTGTTTGAAACTTCATGTTATATTTTGAGTAACTCTGAACATGAGAATTCTTATCTGGAAGGTTATGGATAATTATGGTTCTGGAAGACCTTCAGTGCTCAAGACAACAAAGACTCTACTCAAGGAAGATGGGTGGTGGGGCTTCTACAGAGGTTTCGGACCCCGTTTCTTAAATATGTCACTCTATGGAACTACAATGATCGTTACCTATGAACTGATAAGTATGTCCATTTCCCAGGTTTTTCTTTTGATGATGGGCAGATTAGTATGAATTATAGAACGATTCATGAGCGTTTTCATGCTTGGGCATTTTCTTGCACCTGCTTTGATCTGAAAAACTGAAACCCAGTGTTATCTGTCCTCTGCATATATTCCTTGATTCATGCCTTTGAAATATAGATTTCCTTGTCTGCAACTGCAGATATTACTTTGCGATTCCTGTTGTCCTCTCTTTTCCTGTTTTAAGACAGGGAGAGTGATTTCTCACTTAATTATTGAATGGATGTCACTCGTCTTGATTTTGGTATAATAGTTGCAGTCAAACACACAACAATTTTTTTTTTCCCGAGAAGTATAAGCACTTCCTGACGAGTCATCCTGTTGCAGATGCTGCTGTTTGTTTGATCAAATGTCGTTTTTGTTCAGAAAAAAAACTCTGCCCCTTGTAGCATTACCTTTATTTATTTTCTGTGCTGCTTCTGTTCTAAATCTTCCCTTCCAAAATTCTGCTCATTAGAACATTCAAATGAAGACCAGCTAATCAATCCATTACTGTTTCTGCTGCACCTTTTTATTAGAGAGATTATCTATAAAGCAAGGATGAAGGCTCAAGGTGGACGAGTAATCGCTGGTCTCGCATTTCCATGAACCGAGATGAAGTTCATTCCAAGAAGTCTCCAGTCTCTCTCTCTCCATAAACCATTGCCTCTCAAGTGTTACTCAAGGCAGTTTTGACACGGTCAGGATAGGGTAACATTTCTTGGAGATTGGTCCTCTTAAATTTTTTGATGAAGAAGGCGTGTCTCAGTTTACTCACTGGCCTTTCCGTTCTGCAACTGGAAATACATGTTCCCTTGCTATTTATTTATTTACTTAAATTTATTTTCTTGAATGTTTTGATTATTTTGATGGATTTTATTTGAAAAAAAAGGTAAAATTTAAACAAGGATCATTATTGGCCACACATAGTCGTGTATGGGCAGGGCAGGGCAGGGCAAGGGCGAAAGAGGGGAAGAATGAAACACAGATTCAAAATTGTAGCCCAGTAGCATATAAAACACATGATGGTGGTGCTCTAACGTGCACCTCCATAAATGTTGTTGGCGTCAGGAAATTAGTATGATTTTATCTTGAATTTATAGTCAAGATAACAGTAGCAGATAAGATTCAGTCTCACCATAAAAAAAGTTTATTTAGAATAACTTATTTTTTAAAACACCTCAAAGTGTCTCAATTAATATCTAAATTAATATGAAAATATCTATTATCATTTAATAATTAAATGCCAAACTTTTATTTGAGCTAAGATCTAGGAAGTATTTAAACATGTCTGTGTAAGGATTTAAACCCCGCAGCCACAGCGACAACCAATAACTTAAGGGGGGGTTTGTTATTGTGGTTGCGGGTAAGGTTCACCCGTAACCACAATTTTTAATGTTTGATAAGATATAAATAGCAGTTTTTTTTTATGGGACCCACTAATAACTGTGGGGAGCCACAAGTTTTTGAGAAGCAGCATTTTGCTTCTTCGATATTAACACAGTTCAGTAGCCATGCTCTGCTGTATCACTGTTTATTAACGTAAATATTGATTTTTTTTTAAATTTTTTTTGAAAATTAGCAAATGAATTAATTCAGTATATTGTTCATATGAAAAGTTATTTTTTTTATTTAAAAAAAACAGTGTAATTAATTGATTTTGCTCATATTATTTACAAAAATATGAATAATATTTTTTTTTTGTTTTTTTAAATATAGTTTAATGTGAATTAAATTTACTCGTACTGTAATCTAAATTTTATTCATAATAATATTTGACCTAATTTTATTACATGCTCAAAAAATCATGAAAACTATAGTTCTTGTCGAATGAATTTTGTACGTAATGAAATTATAATTTTTTTTTAAAAAATTGAGTTTTACTAGAAAAACTAGTATTTAACATTATTTATAACACTACATAAATTAGAAGGATATCGCATGATGACGTAGTATTTGTGAAATTTGATCGCAATTCCAATTATGTTCTTGCTGGGTCCGACCCAATTAAAAAAATTTAGTTTTTATTTTTATTTTAATTATATTTTATTCAAAAAATTAGAAAGATATCGCTTGATGACGTAACAAAAAAATTCAATTTTTGTTGTTACATGCTTAAGAAACCATGAAAAATATAGTTATTATTGAATAAATTTTATATGTGACGATATTACATATAGTTTAATGAAATAATAAAAAAATATTTGGTATCAATATTATTTATTTCATGATATAATAATAGTAGTTAAATTTTCAATATTTAAATAAAAAATATTTTTTAATTATTTTATAACCTTAATTTAAAAAACATTTTTTTAACCAAACACATTAAACTACTTTTTGTTTAACCTCAATTTCAACCACAGTTTTAACCAAACATATATTTTTTCAAATCAACCTCAATTAAAAATACTTTTTATAAAACAATTTTTTTCAAACCATAACCACAACAAAAATCACAATATCAAACACACCCTAAATACCCAACCAAACCCATACTTATAAGCTAAGCTTTCAAGTTTCCGTGATAACCACTGGCCACAATTGCGATCACCCGAAATAATAATAATAATAATTAAAAAAAACAGAAATTCAAATTCAAATAAAAGAAAAAAGGGAGTTTGTTCTGTTTGCTATTTGTAACCCCGATTTTGGCGCTACCCTTTATAAACGCATAGACGATACAGAGAGAGAGGGCGAGAGGGGCAGAAACGCATTTCTCTTGTTCAAAAAAATTAGATCTCAAACTTCTCTTGTCTCCTCCTCAAGCACCGCGGTAAGTCTCTTACATGTTAGAAAAGAGCACATGCATTCTGTGATTTCTTTCCTGCGTGATTAGATCCGGATCTCTCTCATAAATGAATGTTGTTTTGATTGCAGTTGTAATAAGGCAGGCAAGATGGGGCTCTCTTTCACGAAATTACTGGGCCGGTTGTTCTCAAAAAAGGAAATGCGGATTCTGATGGTAGGTCTTGATGCTGCTGGTAAAACCACCATTCTTTACAAGCTCAAGTTGGGAGAAATTGTCACCACCATCCCTACCATTGGTAATTTATTTACAGGCTAACCATCCTCATCTTTTCTTCTTTTCTTCTATATATATTTAAGTCGCTGGTTTTTATGCTGTTAGGATTTAATGTGGAAACTGTGGAATACAAGAATATTAGCTTCACCGTTTGGGATGTTGGTGGTCAAGATAAGGTAATTGCCATGCCTTTGATTTATTTATCTCTTCTCTGCATTTTATTTTTAGCGAGTGAATCTCGTTTTAGTCATTCTAGTTTCCCGATGGTCGCTTATGGTGACTGTTTTGTGTGGATCGTATTTATTGTTGTTTGACTAATCAATCATATGCTAGGCTTTTCCTGGTAAAATTGTGGTCCTTCTGCATGGATTTGCTTTCTTTCTAATTTCCTGGATGTTATCAGAGGGAGAGAGGGTGTTGGGCATGAATGAGAGGTGAATTAGCTTTGGCATCTTGAATAGCATCTACTTTCTTTGTTTTATCGGTGGAAATGTGATCGATGCCTGTTATCATCGGGTGTTTTCATACAGGGGCTTGTTGATAAAAGCCTTGATTGTAAACACATGTTCGGTTTCCTCTTGGTTGGATTAGTAACTGTGTGTGATTTGTTTATAGAGCTCCTTTTGGGCTTCTAAGTGCTTGTCCATTGTCGAATTCAACTTATCATTATTATTATCATTATTTTTATTTTTTTTTTGAACTTTGATTGAAAAAATAAAGTGGTTTTACCATCCACAAATTGTAATTTCTTTAATGGATGATTTCAGATTCGCCCTTTGTGGAGACATTACTTCCAAAACACTCAAGGGCTTATCTTTGTGGTTGACAGTAATGACCGAGATCGAGTTGGTGAGGCTAGAGACGAGCTGCACAGGATGTTGAATGAGGTACTGAGAGTGTCAATATTTGCTTATATATCAACGTTTAAGATTTTGCTATGGCAGACATGTCTTTTATTTATGCTACTGGAATAATGAGATGATAATTTTGCATGAACCTATATGCAGTGACGTATTAGGATTGAGGAAATAATATTGATTTTATTTTTTCTGGGCAGGATGAGCTGAGGGATGCTGTGCTCCTTGTGTTTGCAAATAAGCAAGACCTTCCAAATGCAATGAATGCTGCTGAAATCACTGATAAGCTTGGTCTTCATTCTCTAAGGCAACGCCACTGGTAAAGTTGATAGCACTCTCTCTCACTCCCACACAAGCCCGATGCACAAGCCTACAAAGCATGAAAAACACAAATTCATCGTTATCCTTAAGGCAGGGCACCAAGCATTGACATTGTTAATTCATGATGCGAGACTTCATGTGGTTCTGCTCGCCACTCCTTCCACCTACAAAATGCATGTTTTTTTTTTGGGGGAATACAGACTTGGAAGCAAACTTCTCATGCTCTTCATACCTTCTCTTTTCTTGTGAACTATCTCTCCATAGCTTGATCGCTCTACACAAACATAAGCAAGCACGTAACTTTTGTTGATGTTTTGCAGGTATATCCAGAGCACATGTGCCACTTCAGGAGAAGGGCTTTATGAAGGATTGGACTGGCTTTCAAACAACATTGCTAGCAAGGTATGTGCGATAATATCTGTATTCTTCATTGCTTCCATAGTTTCCAAAGTATCACTTTCTGCTAATTGTGGTCTGTCAGTTATATTCTCTATTACACTTTTTTTGTTTTTTTTTTTTTGAAATTACAGGCTTAACGGACTGAGTTGAAATTCTTTCAACGACTTGTGCTAGCATTTGACGTTTTGTTTTAGATGTTGCCTCCATTCTTTTTTCTTTACTTTTCTCACAAGATTTGTTTTATAAATTCATATTTCAGCTGTCAGTACTCTGTTTGTCTTTTTAATTAACATACACGATGCAGACTATTTGCATCGGAATATGTTCTGAATATAAGCGATGAGTAGTTTGGAGTGTCAGTCAATTGACGATATAGATTCATTTACCGTCATCACAATACTCTAGAGAAGCACGGCATGTCTAAATACTGTTTGAACATTGCCATTTGAATTTTTCTCCTGGCAAATCTAAGGGGCCTTTGTCTTAATCAGGTGCCGGAGATGAAACCCGGCATGGGAATCGCATTCAAATTATACAGTTAATCCAGCTAGTTTAAATACCTAGATGCTCAGTTTCCAGTTTATCCTGGCAGAATGTGATCCAAATACATATCATATAACCTATAGGCACCCTTTAGCTTGCCTCCATAATCAATTTGGCAGGTATAAAGCTTGTCCTTCATTACTTCATTCACATTTTGAAGGGAGGACTTGACAATAAACCATGTTTACTCTCGCCCGTGCCATTGCTAGCATTACAGTAAAGATTCCAAGCTCATTAATATCTGCTTCCTTGGTCTCTGAGTTGCTATCAAGAATATTTTTGCAGAAGTCTGGCTGACTGCATCGATTAATATGTGGATTACTGGACAGTCACCACAGATTAGTGGAAGAAAAAGAAGAGGAAAGTCATTGCAATACGAAACTCAAAAATTGAATCATGATATGCAATGATCTTTCTGTTCCTTCGAGTACGGGGGCAATGAATTAGAGTAGCTTCCATTTATACGCCGAAGTAGGCAACCTGTTAGGTTGCTAGAGTTTTAAAAAATAGTCACACGTCATTCCAGTAAGGTTGTCAAGGCAAACTCAGACTAAAAAATGGCCAAGGCGTGTAAGGTTTGTCTCCCTCAGCTTTGTTTTCAGACAAGAGATGGAAGGTTTTAACTTAGAGGGTGGTTGATAATATAGTAAAGTTTAAAATGTTTTTTTTAGGTGAGAAATGTATTAAAATAATATATGTTTTTTTTATTTTTTAAAACTAATTTTAAATATTAACACATCAAAACAATTTAAAAGTAGAAAAAAATTATTTTTTTAAAAA